CCACCTTTCTGTCTGGCTCTCCTCCTCAATAAACTACAACCTTCTTTTTAAAGCTGTCTCCATTTTGATTATTCCCAGCTTGTACTAGACCCTAATGAAGATTTTTCTTTCCACAAGCTTTTACTAAAGGAGATATCTTCTTGTGACCAAACTATTCTTGGTGATCCAGAGTGACAATTCACTAGAGCCTCTGGTCTTTGCTCTTCAGAATTTAGAGCGGTATTGTTATTTTTGTTTGTTTTCATCCCTCCTTTATTATTTTTACAGATAATTCAATGCAGTGAACAACAATAACACTGTGAGGTGGGTTGGGCAGAGAAGGAGTAACTGACCTAAAGTCACCCAGCTGGCTTTCATACCTAAGGCAGGACTAGAACTCACATATCGTTAATTATAGTAAGACACAAAAGGTATTCCAAATGTCTCAAGTTTATTAGCAAGAAGTGCTAAAGTTGAATTTTTCTAATATCCTAAGCAGATTAATGAATGAAAAGGGCAGTGCTTTAGAAGGATGTCTTCTTTACAGGTAATTATTGGGTTATGATCGCAATTGGAATCAGGAACTATTATAAGTCCCCGCCCAACTAGGCACCAACTAGCAGACTATCTATACTTAAAGGCAACTGCTCTTAAGTTTGCATCTTCCAGCACTCAGCATTATACAAATAGGGAACCAGCACCATTATTCTAACTAATGGGAAAGGAAACTAAAAGATAAAATGCCCCTCCCCACACATGCTGACCAAGAACTCTCGTAATTCATGGGGAGAGTACTGTAATTCCCTGGGTAGAGACACGGTCCTAAAGGAAAGAAAATCACTCACAACTGAGATTGTTTTATGCACGCTCCTACTTATGTCCTTTTGCATCCTGAGAACACTGTGTTTCCATATACTTGTGTTTTTCTTGATATAGAGCAGTGGTGGCAAACCTATGGCACAGATGCCAGAGGCGGCACTCAGAGCCCTCTCTGTGGGCACATGTGCCGTCGCCCCAGTCCTAGGCCTTCAGCTGGGGTTTTATAAAACCTTTTTGCTTTAGTCCTCTACCTCTGTGTACAAAAAAAAGGTTCCATCAATCAGTCAATTTCAACTTCTTGCAGGAAAAAAAATCTTGCAAAGTTGGAATTAATTGGTTGAACTTTTTAGTCCCACCCAGTCTGCCGTTACCACCGCAGCCACACCCACCCAATGAGCCATGCCCACCCGGCACCTGATGATGCATAAGTGGGTTTTGGGTTGCAGTTTGGGCACTCGGTCTCTAAAAGGTTCACCATCACTGATATAGAGCAATCATAATGGCTCCCTGTGGATTATGAAAAGCTTAGAATTAATATTCTCTGGTTTCTAGATCCATTAATTTTGAAATTAAGTTAGCTTAGCACACACCTTCATTTACAGTAGGTTATGAATAATCACAAATGACTATTCATTACTGCTAAAAAAAATCATTCAGTAATTTTAGACATACTAAGTGTTGGTTTTGTTCCTGTTTCAAGAGCAAGATTAACTAAGGGACAAAGTGTTTACCCAAGCTAATGCTAATAGATTTTGTGACTGAACAAATCCAGTAATCCGCTTTCTCTTATTCTCGGCCTCTACTTTTTATATCCCAGAATGGTTTCTTGATGGCATGCAGTAAAGTATGAAAGTAATATAACTACACAAGCCAAAATAGAAACTCATTAACAAGCCAAAACAAATATTTAAAATCAAGGAGGATAGACAATTAGAAAAGAGTTGTGGAAAATTATTTTTATATATGATAATTGTTAGGAGATTATTATATGCATAAAAATGGAAAAGACTCTGAAATACCCACAAAGGAGGAACGGCTGGTGAAGGTGAGAGAATTAGAAGTGACAGATGGAAAACCGACTTCATTAGCAAAAAGATAACTATTTATTGGTGACTGGGAAACCCTTATGGACCTTTTGCTGAAAAAGAGACAAAGAATGAACTTGTGATTTATGGGTTTGGTTACTATAAAAGGTAAACTATGGAAAGAAGGAAATTATACTGCACCTGGGGGGGGGGATTTATATTATAAATTGGGTCTGGGTGTTAACTGCTGTTAAGACTGGAAGTTGCCTTTCTTTTCCTTCCTTCTAATTTTCTAATTACTATTACATTCTTGCACATTTTTCAGTTATTACTCATATATATATATATGTACAGGTATATGTATATGCATATGTATATATGTATATACTTAAGAAGAATACTTGGCCATACTCTGCAAGTGAAAATAGAATTATTCTACTGCAATGCATCCCACCGTGACCTCAGCTTCAGAAAAAAAAAATTATCGGAAAAAGTTCATAGTGTTTACCCTAGTGCACAGTTAAGCCGGATGGGAGCTTCTATTGTACAGTACATATATAGTCGCTCCACAATTCAGTATTGTATGTGGGCTGCAATACTTTGGAGAACCACTAGATGTCAGCAGAGATACAGAAAAATCCCACTCTGCCACCAGGTTGGGGATGACTTACATATTTACGTGGATGTTACAACCATAGCAGCAGCTGCTGCATAATAGGTGAAGTTTGTTTCTTTTTTCAGTCTGTGTATTATGCAAACCAAACCCATTTGGCTAGTGCAGGGGTAGGCAACCTTGGCTCTTTTATGACTTGTGGACTTCAACTCCCAGAATTCCTGAGCCAGCATGGGGGAATTATGGCTCCCTTGATGACTGATGGATTTCAACTCCCAGAATTCCCGAGCCAGCCATGCTGAGGGGGAAGGGAGGTTTCCAAGCTGAGCCATGCTTGCTCTGGAATTCTGGGAGTTGAAGTCCACGAGTCATGAAGGGGCCATAGTTCTCCCATGCTGGCTCAGGAATTCTGGGAGTTGAAGTCCACGAATCATAAAAGAGCCAAGGTTGCCTACCCCTGGGCTAGTGTATGGTTCAGTATATGGGTCAAACTCAGAAGATAGGGTAGTGTAGTGCCTGATGAAGTATATTGTGAGAGCTCAATTAACATGATATGAAGCCCCAACCTCTCTCAACTGCATCTATGTTGAATGGAAATAGTCAATCTTTCCTGAGCAATTCTTCAGTATCCATGTACCCTTAGATACTGAAGTCTGAGTTGTGCTTTATTTTGTTTCCTTTGCTGTATGGAAAACTGACCTCTCAGTTCTTACTCATATATAAATGCTAGGCTGAATGGGTCTGTAGTATTAGAGAGTGAGAACTATCTTGCCTGCTACTGGCTTAAGACTATTTTGCCCTTACGTTTATTTTTCAAAAAATGTTGTTAAATATAGATAGCATAATTGTGATTTGAGGGAAAAAGATGTTCAAATTAATTTGTTTTTCTCTTTTCTCCTTGTCCTTTTTTTCTTATGCCTTTCAGATTCTAAGCTTAAGAGGATAGATGTGTAAGATTACTGATTATATGTAGACAGTTCTAAGGCTCTTTTCATGTGAAGAGCTAGTAAAAAAAATGGCTTCAGGTAGGTATAGACATAGTGTTACTTTAAGTTGGAGAGCAAATATTCTCTAAGGAACATAGTCAAGGTCTAATAGATTCTTCAAGTGATACTACCATCTCCAATATCTCAGGGGCTGCCACAAAGAAGAGGGTGTCAAGCTATTTTCCAAGGCGCCTGAGGGCAGGACAAGAAGCAACGGGTGGAAACTAAGCAAGGAGAGAAGCAAGCTAGAACTAAGGAGAAACTTCCTGACAGTTAGAACAATTAATCAGTGGAACAACCTGCCTCCAGAAGCGGTGAATGCGCCAACACTGGAACTTTTTAAGAAGAGACTGGACAGCCATTTGTCTGAAATGGTATAGGGTTTCCTGCCTGAGCAGGGGGTTGGACTAGATGACCTCCAAGGTCCCTTCTAACTTTACTATTATTATTATTATTATTATTAATTATTATCATCATCATCATCATCTCACTGCCTCAAAAACCTCACCAAGAATGAAGCAACTTAAAACTTAAACAGTTAAAAAAACATTTATGCGCCACTTCTAGATGAGATGGGCAGCACATAAATCAACCAATCAAATCAGTAAAGGAGAATATTTGTAACTCATGACTTAAATGAGGAGTCCTTGGTGCTCTCTGAGCTTGGTGGTTTTCCTACAGATGTTTCATTACCCAAAGTAGGTAATATCATTATCAGTGCTCAGAGCAATGATAACGTTACTTAGTTTGGGTAATGAAACGTCTTTCAAGAAAACAACCAACTTCAGAGAGCACCCAGGACCCCTCAAACAAACAGCATGTCTTCTAAAACAAAAAGCAGCAGCATGCTACAGAAAGAGGTCCTTTGGGTATTCCCTCTATGCTGTCTTTGGCTCAGTCATGGATATCATGATGAATCACCACACAGCATCACCAGATACAGAAGAATCTCACACACATCTGAAAAGATACTTAAGGATTTAAATTGATTAGTTAAGCAAGGCCAAATTCAGAAGCAGCCAAGAGCTGCCAAAATAAAAACCTGGATAGAACAATCAACCCCTCAGGTTGTAAGACACATACTGTAGATCTTTCTGTTATCTCCAAAATTCAAATTTCAAGTGTATTAAGTCAACTTGATACTTAGTCAGTATCCTCTTTAGAAGGATTCACCACCAGTGAATTAAGAAATGTATTCTACCATGGAACTGAGCCTAATAATCATATGCATATTCAATCAGACAATGCTTTCAATGGATTCTATAGGACTTGCTCCAGGTACCGGTATGTACAGAATTTCAACTCTACTTATGCAGTATAGTTTTATGTATCTTAGTTCAGTATTAAACTCCATGATGTTCAACAAAGCTCAATCCCTAGAAAATATGTTCAAGACTGACGCTTAAAATAGGAAATTACATCATTACAATATACATTCTTTGTTCTTAACATCTAATTGTAGAAATTATGCAGTATTGTAGTAGGAAACAGCTAAATTATAATAGTTACAGATAGCACAGCTAATAATGAGAGTTGCTGAAAATTAATTCAGCAACATCTAGAAAGCTAGAGATTCCCTTTTTTTTTTTTTTTTTTTTGCTGTGAAGTGATAAAATTAAAAGTTACCAGATATTCCCATGTGGAAAAAATTATCATGGCATTTTCATCATCATAATCTAAGGATTTAGTTGAAATCAGAAAAAGTAAATTTAGTCTCAAAACCTTGGGGATCAATTGGTCAAGAGTTCATTAGACTGCCTGCATATTGATATATAGTAGAGAAAAATAATCCAAACATATAAATAAAATAATTTCCTCTCTGTTTGGCTTTTATTTTCAAGAATATCTTTCTTGCTTGTTCTCTCTTTTGTATTATATAGAAATATTGTTGGATTTCTTAAGACATTAAAAAATGGCACAGTTTAACAATATATATATATATATATGGTATAAATCCTGGTAAAAATCCCACACAGAATCTAATAGAAATACAAAGAGAACATGACATATAAATTGACTCAAAAGAAGTTACTGGGAAGCAGTAGTGGAACCTGGAAACTAATCAGTCTTTCCCAATCTAATCCCCCAATGTGTCAGACTCCTCCTCCCTTAATTCTCATCAAGGAAAGTTTGGAAAGGCCAATTGAGGGCATGATATTACTTTGAAATAATGGTAAATCAGGGTATTCAAAGTTAAGTTTCTTCCAGTTGCACATTTTAGTGTAGCTGGATTTAATGAATCGTCATAGCCTAACTATGATGGCAAAACAATCTTGCAAAAACTCAGGGGATGTCAATTATTTTCATAGATGGACTTTTGAGGGACCGATAGCCAAGAATCACCAGCAGAGACAGAAATAAAAGCATGCCTATCATAGGAAAGTAGAATGTAAAAATTTCTGGAGAATCTACATAGAGAAGTGATATTCTATTGTATGATCTGATCATTTATTTTAAAGTGAAAATTTGCACACTTAAAATTGTGATCACACTTTCATGCAGCTTCAGGAATTCTGACTTGTAAATCAATGTTTACACTGTGCAGTGTGTTTTTGCAGACTGAACTGTTCATCATGTTGCTGGGCCGGATACTAGCTTGAGTCCAGCTTCAGTCAGAATGTTATTTTATTTATCAAATTTATATGCTGCTCATCTCGTGATATAGTTTTCACCCCGATGTGCAGTATCTGCTTAAAGAAGAATGCAAGGGGTGAACTACCGAAGAATATGCAGATTTTTGCAAATTATTATATTAATTCAGAAGTAATATGCTATTTTAACAACATTGTACTGTATATTTTTTGTCTAAATAAATAGGTTTAACTATACCAAATATTGTGGCTTTAACACATTTTCTAATTCTAGCCAGAATTAGTCAGGAGTAACTCCTTTTTCCCACCACCTTCAATGAAAATAATCAGTTCTATTCTTAAGACTGAAACATGTTATATTCTGCTTCTATTTAAGATTATTCAGGAATTAATATCAAGTGTCATTGGCCTGTCCTAAATATATGTGCTTAAGATAGTCTTATGGCATGACTGCTAAGTATATTTTTTACATAAATAAATCCTGCTTCCGTCAGTGAATGAATTTTACAGTATGACAAAATATATTTTTTAAAAAGTTTCACGTATATTAAGCAAAATCAACTGTCTAATCAATAGGTGAAGACCTGTGGCTTTAGTTACTTTGTGGTACTCCTTTGGCTGCAATGAATCCTGAAGGAATCTTTTGGATCCCTTTTCCACCTCTTAAAGACAAAGAAGCAACTGTTCCCTACTTTTTCAAGCAATTTTTCATCAGCGATAGCTTTTTTTGGGCCAAAGAATGCCACAAAATTCTGCTATTACATTTAGAGGACCATGCAAATAAATGGGGGAGTGGTGATGCAGTTCCAGTATTTTTTAAACTTCAAACTATTTAGGCTGATCACTTCTGCAACACACTACATCATTATAACCCAATACAAAGGGAGTGCAGAACTAATGACTCTTTTGGGGGGGTAATAACGGAAGCCATGTTTATTCTACAGATTTCTAGAGACAAATTAATGCCTCTACTTCATTAACTGTGTTAGACTTGAATTCAAGGATCAGATAGGATGAGTTGACATTTGGATGCACAATAAAGCTACTGTATATAATCTTAAATAAGAAGATTCTTGCTCTGATTGATGGAAACAGACCTTCTTTATGATTCAAGCATAAATTATTTTGTTCTTTTCTTCACTTTTAAAAAAAGTTATACTACAAAAGTCTCCATAATAAATGTCTTTAAAAGTCCCTATAATACAAATTCTAAAAATAATGCAAATACACCTTTTTCTTCACACTATAACACTCAAATAAATCCTTTGTTGTTCACTGTGAATATGGTCCCATGTGTGTAAATTGCACTGATTTCTAAAGAAGGGGGGGGGAATCACTGCATTCATTCTGCAGTATAATTACAGTGATAACATAGTTATGCTCTTCAATAAAAACTACTATTTGTGAACATCCAATGTTCCTATATCAGGAAAATTAGATTAAATTATAAATTAGGCCATTTATAAGGGATAAACTTTTGTCCTTACATGAGCTGAGAATTTTATCCCCTCCCTCAACCAGGACAGCAGCTACCAAGGGCATTGGTTTGCAAAAATGCATGGTATTCTCAAATTCAAACAGAGCTATCTTACAATGTTTATTCAGAAATCAATTTCATTGCCCAGAAGGGGGCTTGCTCCTGGATAATGAGTATAATAGGACTGCAGTCTATGCATATCCCAATCAAATTAGAAATCCTTATTAACTGAGGGAAGGAAGGAATTCCGAGTACCATTTACAGCAAAATTACAACATACTGAAAGCAATTTCTGGTAAAAACATGACAATAATCTTTTGTGACATTGTGAGAGCACCACAAAAATAACCCCAACCACCTTAAGATAAACAGCAGGTATTTCCAAAATGATATGTTACTATATTGTATATTCAGAATGCTTATACTTTGCTCCTCCAACGTTTCAATATCATTCGATTTTTCTGTTAATACATTAACACAATGAGCACCAATAAATAAACCAGATTGTATTAGTATTACATTGTGCAAAACATGTAATGACCTACATTCTATACACATACCCTGACTAAAATATGCAGGCTAAATTCAGAAGCCATTATTCAGTTTCTACTTTTCCTTGGCAATTCAAGTGGCTGCAGTCCTGTAATTAGGTACACTACCTTCGCTTGATTCTGTGGGGTGAAGGAGCTGAGCATGTGCTAGACCACTGCCACAATGTCCAGCTAACACTGCACAGTTAACATCTGTGGGACCTTTGTTATTGGTTTGAATAAAACCAGCTATAGGTATTGAATAATGGCTTCCATATCTGGCCTGATTTTGTGATTGGTGTTACACTTACATTAATCCACTTAAGTGCAGGAGAACTTTTTTATGATGATGATGATGATGATGGGGATGATTTGCAAAAAGAAAAGTCATTGTTGTAATAGATTTAGTATTTGATTCTCAAACCTGCCCTCTTTTTGGAAAGATGAATAGCTTATACAGTTTAGACAATGAAGTAACTCTTTCAAGAGCCATTATAATGTGATTATCCAGCAGGGATAGGCTTTTTAGTTCCATAAAAGAAGGACGGCTCAGTAACTATTTATCATTAAGTGCTTTCTTCATTCAAATAAACAATAGTTCAATTCATCAACATGTCTTTTGCTGCTGAGAAGACAATAATGATCGCCGTCTGGTAGCTGGGTGTCCCAAACAAAATTCTCATTGCGTCTTCAGACAGAGGCTAACAGAACCGGAGCCAATTTGGAATCTAAAATTTTGGTTATCTTTGTTTGTTTGTTTTTAATAATATTTTGAAAAACCTAGGTCAACCAAGTTTAGTAATCTGGAGGTCTCCATTTATCTTTATTGTATCAATAGCTGATAACTTCTCAATGCGATGGTAAAAATCAAAAAGCTGGTGTCCGTCCACGAATATTCTAAAACGAGGGTGTTCACACAATATTTCAACCTGTAAGAAATAAAGTATGGATGAGGACCACAATTTTAATTGGAACATTTTAAGAATGTAGCAATGATATAAGAAATGCTATTTATCTGACATAGCTTTGACCATCTGTGTTGTTTGGACTAGATCACTCTTTTGCAAGAGGGCAGATGTCCTCTTTTGCAATCCAAGTTTACAGACTCTGTGATCCATACAGAACTGGAAGGCTATTTGCAGCTGAGAATAGAAAACCTGCTCACAGAATCTCTGGCTGACGTCACTAAAGCCCTCAAGACAAATTCAATTTCATATTTATAGTCAGAGAATAAGTATAGTTTCCCAAAGTTATTAACTCAAGTAGTAATTAACTAAAGCAAATGGAACAGTAAAATGACAAATATAATCAAAGTACTGATGAGTTAAAAATTGCAGATGAGGATGAAAAGGCACTATGGTACAATAACAATGCAGATAATGGAATATAAAGAAATACAACTGAATAGCTGAGGTATCTTCATACTGTTAATTATGAAGCTCATAGATAATATTCTGGCCTTTTTTTCTAATGCAAATGTAAGTGCGCAAAGGTCTAATACTTAATGCCTCCCGTAACTAGATGGGAAAAGCATATCCATGACTTAGGTTTTTCAAAATGTTTCCATCAGCCACGCTATACATCTTTTCAGAACATTTAAGGAAATCTCTGGTGTAAATATAAATCTTTCTCTGATTCAGTATTTAAAAGACAGATCTAATCATTAACTGATGCAAACAAAAGGCTGCATCCAATCTCATGCAAGTCAACTTCCACAGGTGTGTTGGAATTTCCCATGGTCTCCTCACACAGAGTTAATTTGTGTAGATCTTATAATTTGTGCTGAAAGGTGCAGAGAAAAAAAGGAGAGCCTTATTTGCCAATTGTACCATTTTGCTACTAAATGAACACAGTTGGAGATTTGTTAAATTAATATCCTGCTTTCTTCCAGGGATTCAAAACAGTATACACAACACAGATTTTCACCCAGTTTTACCCCACAGTATCACCACTGCTACACTGAGAGAAAATATCCAGCATCTGATCATCCATCAAGCTTCCATTTTTAAAGGTAGATTTGTTGTCTCCGAGCCTAGTTTAAAACCTTAAGCGTTCTGTTGAACTTTCTTTATTCTTTAACACATTATTCATAAAGGTTTTTATTTGTACAACCCAATGAAACAATAACTACGATTCGAAACACTTTCATGCCAGCTACCTCAAATTCAAACATATGTATATGAGTCCTTAGTAACTAGAGAAGCAAATAACAATGTACTTGTGAAATCTTATGATATGTAAACACGAAAATTAAAAAAATAATAATAGGCCCAAATCTTGAATGATAAGGTAGAGATTTCATTCCCTCCAAAAATAGTGGCTGCTGCCAGGACAGAAATAAAACATTATTTTATCTCTATTTAATAAAAATTAAGCATATTGATATGACTACACTGTAGTTACTGTATGCATTTAATAATCCTCCTTTATTGTTTTATTAATTATTACAATTTGTAATACATTTTTGCTATTTCTTTCTTGGGCTTCTGCACAACCCTGAAGATTTTGGGACATGCACTTCTGGTATCACTAAATAAAAAGAGCATTCGATGGGCATAAACAGTCAAAGCTAAGCACTTTTAAACTGTGATCATTTTGAATGGAAAACGACAGCAAAATTTCATTTAGAGTCTTTAAACCTTTTTTTTTAAAAAAAGTCTTCAAATACCCATAAATAATGTTCGGATCTCATCTTCATTATTCATATAAGACCACTTGAAAACAAATATTTGCCATACAAAAGAAAAAAAATCAGTCAGTTGCATCTAACTCGTAAATTTCTTCTCAATGCCCACAAAATTTAGAAGCTGGAACAGTGTTCAAGATGATTGCCCATATTTTCTTACTGACAAATGAGTTTTTCTTGTCTGATGACCAGGAATATCTCTAGCATTCCAAATGAAGTACAACTGAGCAGACCATCAATGATCTAACATGCTGGAGTAGACTACCAATGATCATACTGCTGGGGATTACAGCAACCATCATCCAATAGATCTGGAAGATGCCCTATATCAGAGGTCCCCAACCTTTTCGGCATCAGGGCCTGGTTCCATGGAGAGAGTTTTTTTCCGCAGACTGGAGGGTGCGTGGTTTTGTGTGTTGTCTGCATCTCGCAGATGCGGCTTTGCTTGTTTGTGCGGACCGGTTGCTGGCATGCCACGGCCCGGTACTGGTCCACGGATCGGGGGTTGGGGACCCCTGCCCTGTATTATACCCTATAACTGGGGAAGCCCACTAAAGAGTATAATCTCTTGCTGGAAACTTCATCACTGATCATTAATGATTCACAGAATACTATACCAAACACATACAAGGAATTATCTTCATTTCTACAACCATAAGGCAACAAAATCCAGTTCTCAAACCCAAATGATATTTTGCTTAAATTAGTGATTCTCATGGTATGGCCTGGGTCCCTAAGGCCCCTTCAAGGGGTTCACAAAGTTAAATACATATTTTAAAATTACCCAGTTTTCCAATATAATAAACATCAAAAGATATATAATGTGTGTAAACCAAAGCTCTTTGGGATTCTCAATCATTTTTAAGAGATTAAAATGTTTGAGAACCACTGGCTTAGATTATAAAAACATGGTCTCTATGGGGTTATTCTTGAAGGTTGTTTAATAGCTTATTATAACAAGATTATTAAATGGCCCATGTAATAGGGTACACTGGGCACTTTTCAAGTAGCTACATTATTTACTCCCAACTAATCAAATTGAATAAGCTAGTTTTAAGCTACAAATCTCTAAGACTAAGATATCTAAGGAACTGCCTTTTTCCATTTTGACTCTGGATGGCCACTGGGATCAGCATCAAAGGCTCTGTGGCAGGGTCTTCTGCCAGCTGATAAAGTGATTAATAAAATGAATGAATGGAGGTATTTTTTTAAAAAAATAACAACCCACTAACTCCACTTTAGGAATCTTTTCCCAACAGTTTTGCTTGTCCGCTTGAGTTAATTCTTTGCCTTTTTAATGTTGGACTTGCTAGTTATTGGCAGTGCTTCAGATTTACTTTTACTGACTATGATTAAATTTCTTCCTCCCATTTGTTGGGGGTTTTTTGGTCATTCCAGCTCCTTTGAGAGCATACTAAAGACTGATCAATGCAAAATGATGCCCTCCTTTGCTCTTGACTCCTTAAAAATATATTGTGTTCATGTCCTAAAATCAGTGTTGTAAAGCAAATGCAATGTGGCTCTTAGGATAACAATAACATTACTAGAGAAGTCCATACAATCAATGGACACTAATGCATGACATGTTTGGTTTAGATAGCTATTCTGAGCTAACTTCAAATCTGTGCATACCACTTATCCTGTGTTTTAAAGTATTTTTTCTTCCTCACATTTTTTTTAGAAAGTATAAAGCAACAATAAACAATATTGAAAACTATTATTATAATTTTGATTTGTCACAAGTTTCCACTGAGTACTTAGCCATTACTAAGAACAAAGCAATGCATTTTACATATAAATAGATCTAACTGATCTCCACCAACAGACAAGGAATCACATAATCCCAAGCTGTACTATTCACAAAGGAATTAAAGCCCAGTTTGTAAAGCATAAACTTATAATAGCATGGGGTTCTGTTTTTCTGTGTTGTTCCTTATATGGCACTGTTTTTCATCATTATCCTACAGAGCAGATTACTGCTCCTAAAAGATAATTTATCCATGGGACAAGTTACCCCCCCCCACCCGGGAGTACTGTAAGATATATAAGATACATAAGAAAAACTTAAAAGTTTTTTTTAAAAAAAAAACAACATTATATTTTCCCCTTCTCATTCCAACCCAATCAGTCATCTACTGTAGGAATGAATGTCCTTCCAATCAACTGGCAAGAGAAATCAGTATGTAATCACCAGAATTAAGATATAAGGGCAATGCTGTTGAATAACTATGTGAAGCTTCTGAAGGTCAGCACAGAGTGAGGCATCATCAATACATGGATGATACCCAGTTACATATTCCATCACAGCACTCTAACCCAGTAGATAGAGGCTGTCAGCATTTGGAGGAGAAAATCAGACTAACACCGAACCTCAGTAAGATAGAGTGAATATGGATAAAAAATCTGACTAAGATTAGATGTAGTCTATTTTTGATCCTGGGTGGGATTGTGTTTACACCCTGGGGATCCTTTTATACTAGCAGTCCATGTTTGAACAGCAGGTAGATACCATGACAAAGTTGGGGTTTGTCATGTGATCCCCTTTTGTGATTTTCTGACAAAGTCAGTGGGGAAGCCACATAACTATAGTTGTTAACAGTTGTTATTAACTGCTATTAAAGTTGTTAATAACAACTTAACAACTGCAGTAATTCAGTTAATGATTATAGCAAGAAAGGTCGTAAAATGGGGCAAAACTCACTTAACAACTGTCTCGCTTAGCAACATAAATTTTGGGCTCAATTGTAATCGTAAGGCAAGGAAATTCCTGTATAGGAATTTCACTGGATGCCACTTAGCTTCTGAATGCAATTTAAGATACTGGTGATCACCTTTAAAACCCTACACAACTCAGGGTTGAATCTGTCTGTGTACTAAGGTCAAGAAGTGACTTGCTTTTGGTCCAACCACAGACGAAGCCTATAGTCAAATCTCCTCAGTAATGGCATGTGATTTTTAGTGGCTGTTTATGGCTGCTGTTGTATTGCTGAGAGTCAGCAAATGAAGAAAGAAAAGGGGAGAAGCTCAATTCTTGAAGGGCAGCTGTGATGAGCTGAACTGTGGGGAGATGCAGAGACTGCAGTTCCATTGGCCCAACCTGATATACAGTGTTGGGGACTAGAGCTCTAGAGCAGTGGTTCTCAACCTTTTTAATGCCGCGACCCCCAACCGGTTGTAAGCCGAGGACTACTCAACCGGTCGTAAGTCGAGGACTACTCAACTGGTGCAGCACCGTTTGCAGAATGGGACTTTTGGCAGGCTCAGCAGGGCAGAGCCAGCCTGGACAATTCCTATTGGCTTTTGAAAGCCAATAGAATTAGACTCTATTCAAGAGAGTCTATTTTATTGGCTTTCAAAAGCAATAGAATAAAAGGGAGTAGCACAGCTAAAGAAAAGGGGGGAAAATGGTGAACTGTGTTGTTTGGCGACCCCCGTGAAATGGTCGTTCGACCCCAAATAGGGTCCGGACCCACAGGTTGAGAACCACTGCCCTAGAGGGACACCCACCTCCTCAGTTGCTGGGGGACATTCAATTTTGTACTGACCCAAAATTGGAGAGAGAGAAGAGAGAGAGAAGAGAAAAAGAAAATGCAAAATGGGAGTGGCTGGAGAGAAAAGGTGAAAAGTGAAGTTACATAAGCATTTAGAACAGTTCTCGGTTCATGGCCAAAGAGGGAGAAGAAAAAATCCATGTGTGGCTTCCTTGGAGGAAGGGAAAGGAAGTCCCAGATAGATGACATCTTCACCCAGGGACGGAACCGGCTCCTGTTGGAAAAGTTCTGATCTCCAGGGAAGGACTGATTAGAAGACCCTGAAGGTGGTTCTTCCCCCAAGAGGGGAGAAGGTGACCAGCCAGGTAGAGCCAGAAGAATTTGAGCCCATTCTTTTCTTTTCACTTTCTGTAAGAAGCCCAGAAATGGGAGGGAGATAGAATGAAGAGGGAGGAAAGTTAGCAGGAGAATTAGAGAATGATCTCTGAGAGAAAGACCTAGGACTTGACAACCAGCAAAAATCAGGACTGTGTTGTATGTACCTGTTGTAAATACTTGTTATAAATAGTTTCAGTATATATAGTAAAAGAAAGCATAGACATTGCCACTGTCTTTTTCTCTGTCAATTGCCATCCCTGCAAGCAGAAATACACATCCAGTTTAAAAGAATCCAGTCTCATTATGATACCTTCCTTTGGAAAACTCTACCTCCTAATATCTGGATGACACTGTCCTTATTTTGGAACAGCTATGAAAATATGACTTTTGGGGGATGAATAAGATCTTTAAATGATGGCTCATCAGATTGCAAATTATTATGGACTGAATTTATTACAAGTCTTTAACCCTACTCAACAGTAGGGCCATTCAGGGTCTTCAGAAACAAACTAAGGTAAGTAAATAACAAAGTAAGTAAATACATAAAGTTAAGTAACTAAATAATCAAACTTCATGTTTCATTAAATTCAGATTTATTTAAGAGCTCTACAAGGGGGAAATTTCTTATGAAAATCACAAATGCAAACATTTTCAGGGAAGAAAAAATGGAGAGACAACTGCAGATGGTCTTGTTTCCCAACATTCTCATGAACCACCTGAATGTAATATTTCGAAGTGTCATCTGAGGAACCCATACTCCTCCTTCTAGTCTTGCATAGGTATCTTCAATGAATGTATATGGAGTCAAAAGAGGAGAGGAATCTAGTAGCTCTAGAACAGACATGTCAAACACAAGGCCCGGGAGCCGGATGCGGCCTGTGAAGTGGTTTCATGTGGCCCGCGAAGCCATCTTGGAAACAGTGAGGGAACGACCCCCTCTGCCTTGGCCCTGGCCCAAGAGCCAAGGTACAATTTTGTGGTGGCCATCTATGCTGAAATGCATTCAGTCTTAGCTCCATAAGCCCCCCCCCCCCCGGCATGGCCTGAGAGGAACGGTGAGGCTCAAGTGGACCATGCCTTGGCACTTGCCCCAGTCCCACCCCCTTCTGCCAGAGACCCTCAGATGTGTCCCACTCCTGCACAGGCCCCCTTGACATGAACGATGTAGAGCTGGCCACACCCATCCATCCAGTAGGCCACACCCACCCGGCCCCCTGAGGGCAACCACAATGCTGATGCGGCCCTCAATGAAATTGAGTTTGACACCCCTGTTCTAGAACCTCACATAATCATTGAATATAGCACTTTTTTTTTTACTATTTATTAAAGCTATTATTTCTTTTTTCAGGCTTCTGTGTGAGTGTGAAAAAGTAGCTGCTTTAATGAGTCAAATTATTTTCACAATACATCTTTAATGCTGCTCTCATAGCAAAAGCATCCTTTTTCTAAGAATCATGGAAGGCCTGAATGAATAATGGAGAAATGGTTTTTAAAGTACAGACCACTCTAAAATCTGGCTTTCCATTTGAATCTAATGCTATGACAGCATTGTTTGTTTGCTGGTTATCTATCTTTATGTCAAGAATCTAAGACTGCTTTTTATTTGAATGTACATCTGACTGTATTACAGGTAGTTCTTGACTTACAACAGTTCATTTAGTGACCGTTCAAAATTACAACAGCACTGAAAAAAGTGACTTATGACCATTTCTCACACTTACAACCATTGCAGTATCCCCATGATCATGTGATCCAAATTCACATGCTTGGCAACTAGTTCATATTTATGACCGTTGCTGTGTCCCACGGTCATGTAATCACTTTTTGCAACCTTCTGACAAGCAAAATCAATGGGGAAGCCAGATTTATTGTATTTAACAACCAGGTTATTAACTTATCAACTGCAGTGATTCACTTAACAGCTTAAAATGGGGCAAAACTCACTTAACAAATGTCTCACTTAACAACAGCAATTTGGGGCTCAATTATGACCATAAGTCGAGGACTACCTACATTACACCCCTTTTCTCTTATTATAATGAGATGGCATAAAGGAACAAAATAAGACCAAAATACATAAAGCATGCTTTAAAAAAAGCATTAGTCCTATGGCTGTTATAAGAAGCTAAACTCACCCTATGAGATCTCTATGGCAATATATAAAAAGCACTTCAACCAACTGAGAATAGTGAGACATTTTATACCCAATGAAACAAAAAGGCATGGAGTCAATACCAATGAGTATAGAAATCATGTGGCGACCACTTTAAATAGCGACATGTTTTAGAGTGTTTTTAATTTATGTTTTTAATAACCACACCAAGAAAGTTTCTGTGCCTCTAAATATTACCATCTTTCATTTGCTGTCATGTTCCTATATCTGGATTGAATAAATCGCCATCAGAATGAATGAATGTGTTGGTGTCTGCATAATATTACATTCCTACGGTAAAGTTTACATGCAGTTGTGTTATTTAGAGGGCAAAAATTAGCACTGAAACACACCCAGAAGAGAATCATCAAAATTACATCAGTGTCAACAGTGTCAGTGGTTAGTCAATAAACTCTCAGCACTCACCCTGAAGGGCTGGTCAGGGATAAATGGGAAATATGGAAGAGATGACTGCTCTTCTCCCCATTCTCCAGATATGCAGGAATTCCTGAGGAACTGTTTATCTGAAAATAAGGCTTTCAGTTCAATTGCTGTATCGGCAGGAGGATCTTCAGAATCTCCACATGTAAGACTGATGTCAAAACTGTAAAAAGCAAGAACATCTCTTCATTCACCCAAAACAAGCAAAGAAATCCAAGATGCAGCCTACGTATAAACAAATGTCTTTCTGTCATTGCCAACAGTAATCATAGTTGGTGTTTGTTTCAACTCTAGTTTATGTCTTCCATACTGCCACTTCTCAACATACTTGGTTCCTTCACCCCCACCCAAGAGATACCCTCTACCCAGAAACCATTGTGAAACATCCCTCCCTGTGCCCATTTATAAGAAATCTTCCCATATAAAAAACATTACATCTATATCTGCCTCCTCCCTATAGGTCAAATGAGAAACCAACGTTCTATATTTACAACTACAGATAAAAATAACTGTCCTCGGGAATGATGGATGTTTGGCAGCTACATTCTTCTTGTGGGAACACGCTTTTTCTCGTGGTTCTTGGACAGAGAAGGAATGCATGGACAGGGATGGAAAAGCCCTGCCAGGGGAAAACAGGCCGGGCCTGTGTCTTGTTACCTCTCTGGGTTGAGATCCACGATGCCCATTACCACGACTTTCTTGCCTGGCCTCATGCCTCCTTTGATGTGCCCACAGAAAGGGACAATCTGGAAAAGGATTGCAGGGAGTCAAAATGAGTAGCCTCTGATTACAGAGCGGAAGGAGAAGGGGGCCAGATCAGGCCTGATTATAGGAAGAGAGAGGGAGAGAAGGAAAGCAAATCCTTTACCAGTCGTGGAAAATACACTTCGGCTTGAACTGGGGATCCCAAAGAGTTGTTTAAAAGTCTGTCCTCTATTTTCTAAAAGCAAAAACAAAACAACACATTCAGACACAGAAGGCACCCTTTGTGTTCAGCCAGAGACCGATGGAAAGGGGAAGAAAGGAGGGGGGGGGGCGGCTGAGCAACAGAGCGCCAATTTCATTTCAAGTCTTGAAGAGAGAATCCATCTTTTTCCTCCAGCCCTTTTGCAAAACAAAGGGTGTTGCCTCCCAATTCCCCAGCCAAGTCTTCCAGGTACAATCTATGTCTGGCTGCTCAGATCCATGCTCCCCTCCCTCGCTCCCCATCTATGCATCTCACACACCTGATCATCCAGGTACAAAAAACGCAAAATACATTTATCTTCCCACCCTATACACCCCGGCAGGCAGAAGGAATAAGAAATCGCGGGGCTAGGGCTCCCCCCCCACCCCCAGCGATTTCGCCAACCCTCCCCACCGCCTTTCAGTCCCCGAGGCGTTTTCTTGGCGCCGCTGCAAACAGGTCCCCCTCCTTCTCTCGGGATCCCAATCCGCAGCTCCCCTCTCCCAGCTCGAATCCGTCGCTAGGCGGGATCTGGGCGAGAGCCCTCAAGAACCAGGCGCCACCGACCGACCTGAAACACGCCCGGCTGTCACCGCCGCTCACCTTGACGGCCGGGACACCCGCGGAGGGTTTAGGAAAAGGGCCACTTACCACCGCGTCCCTCTCTGCCACCGACCCCGCCATCTTGTTGAGACGGTGCAGCGAGCGCTAAGCCTCGATCGGCTGGAAAAGGAAGAGGGGGAGCTGCAGGAGGGCAGAACCCGGCTTAGATGTGCCTGCCGAGCGCTGGCCAAGAGGCGTCCGGAGCTGAACTGGCAGGGAAGCGGAGAGAGGGAGGGAGCCGGAGGGGGAGGGACGGGGGCGGGAGCTAATCTCGGCTGTCCCGAGCCCGGGATCCGGGAGGCATTCTCCGCAAAGCCCCCAGCCGGCTACGCCGCGCGAGGTTGGCGATGCAGCAGCAGCAGCAGAAGCGGTGCAGTGGAAGTCGAAGACGCAAAGCCAGCCGGCTGCTCTGCCCCCCTGGCACTTCAGAGACCCTGGCCCGGATTTCAGGAAGCCCAGTGCTGAAAGGAGCCGGGCGGGGCCGGCGGTAGCCCAGGCTGTTGCCGCTTCTTCCGTTCGTACTTTGCTCCGAGCTGTTTTGCTGCGGGAAAGCCGGAAGGGAAAGCCGCGGTTCTGGAAGGGGGCACAATGCAGCCCGGACGGCCTCGGGAGGTGGCAGCGGCGTTGGCGGTTCTAAATAGACCCGGTTAAGGAAGGAAGCCGGCTTGGCTGGGAGGCGGAGCTGGCGGGGCGCAGTTTGGGTTCCGCCGCTGGTAGAACGGGGAGGGCCTGCAAGATTCACAGAGATGATCGCTACGAAATGCCTAGTGACAATCTACCTTTTTTTCTTACAGTTTCCATTGGATTTACCGCCCTATTCCAATACTGGGGTATTTTGGAATTTAAGCTTTTTTCAAAACAAAAAACACCGGATAGCCAGTACATGTGTGCAATAAACAAACTATAATAAATACTAAGTAGAACTAGTAGGTAATAAATAATTGTTTTTATTTTTCTTTGTTGATAATGCAATCATTGCCCATTTAATGACTTCAGTTCATTTTTTTTTAAAAAGCACCTCTTGATGGCATTATTTACAGTAGCTTCTTATGGGAAATTCATTTTTTTTGCTAAAATTACCTCCTTCTCCCTTCAAATGTTTAAAGCCTTTACAACTCCTTTTGGTTAACTTTTATTCAAGAAGGCAGACCAGAACAAACTTTCTGCCGCCTTTGGCAAACATTTGGAAACTAAAAATAATGATACTGCCACCAGGTGCTGACTGGGGCCTGTACTCAAAGCAGGTTATTGCATTAGTGTGTACTTTAGCTGTGCAATTTAAAGGGCTCCATCATTTTGTATAGCTCAGCAACAGGATATTTAAAGGGCCTTCAATCTCACTGTCTGCTGAGACCTTTGGGAGAAACTACACGGGGAGACAACTTAGTGACCATAGGCACCTCCCAACTCCCTGCCCATCTTAATTTATTTTTTTTTAAAAATGAAACAAGAAACTGGAATTCTGCAGTGTGCCAGGCTGTGGTATTAACCTCAGACTAGATAAGCAAACTTAAAAATTAAAGATGGTAGTGATTGTAACCCAGCGCTTTGGAAGTGTGCCTACTTGTCTAGCAGAAAGTCACAAATAAGTTTGGGTAGACAGACAGCCTTCTGAGATGCTAGAAGGAATGATAGGTTAATCTTTATAGCAAGATGCATATAATTAAAAATGTTTTAATTCATCAATGAGCCTCACAAGATTGATTCCTGGAAAACCAATAGTTGGCTATGCTTATTGTACTACATATTTGGGGGAGAACATTTGGAATTTGTTTCCAATGTTTCAGATGTGGCCATTGGCCTCAAGAGGTTGCTAATCCCTCTCCAGATCAGGGATTGGGTGGCCTATGCCTGGTCTGTGTCTTATTGAGACCTTTAAAATATTTTAAGCTGAGACGTTTGTGCAGCTATTGTTTATCAATTTCTTAGAAGTCATTAGTCTACATATAGGGATCAACAAAAAAGTCCCACTTGGGTATATTCATTACTGTGTAGTTTTGGAGGTCTTTGAATTGAAAAATGGTGTGGAGATTGTAATCTAAATTAGCATTATTTCAGTACAACTTTGCAACAACTGTACAACTGTTATTATACACATACATTAAGAAAGAAAAAAGAAAGCAAGCACTTTTTCTAAGATCATCAGTAGATGAAGATTTCAATCAATAAACCTTGATTCAAACTCATAATTTATACTTTGAAGTAAATAGTGCAGCTTTGTTTTGCATCTCTTGAAAATCTTGTTAATCTTACTACAAATTAACCTTAAATGGCTACATAAGCTCCATATTTTAAAATGTAGCCACCAGTCAACAAAAGTTCAGAAAGTTTAGCTAACGTATCGCGCTCAATATATTCTCAGTTTTTTATCTAGAGATACCCCCATATGAAGAGTTATATAGTCCTCTAAGAAATATTCCCATTAATGCTAGGAAGAGCATCTGATTAAGTAGATTGTGATTTTTTTTATTCATTCATTCATCCATCAAATTTATATGCTGCCCATCTCACTATCAAAATGACTGAGCAGTTTACAACAGAATAAAAGCAAATAAGTGCAGAAAAGAAATGCAAAATACAGAGAAGAGCAACAAAAATAATTAGGGACTGGAGGCTAAAACATGCCAAACAGTTGCAGGAACTGGGTATGTCTAGTGAAAAGAAGGACTAAGTGTGACATGATAGCAGTGTTCCAATATCTCAAGGGCTGCCACAAAGAGGAGGGAGTCAAGCTATTTTCCAAGGCACCTGAAGGCAGAATAAGAAGCAACGGATGGAAACTAGCCAAGGAGAGAAGCAACCTAGAACTATGGAGAAATTTCCTGACAGTGAGAACAATTAATCAGTGGTACGGTTTGTCTTTAGAAGTTGTTGGGTGCTCCATCACTCAAAGTTTTAAAGAAAAGATTGGACAATCATTTGCCGAAATGGTATAAGGTCTGCTTGAGCAGGAGTTGGACAAGATCTCCAAGGTTCCTTCCAAATTCTATTCTATTCTATTCTATTTAAAATTAAAAGCATTATAAGCATTTATTAGATTCTTTAAAAAGTATGTGATAGTAAAAAAAAAAAATTCACATTGCCTTTGCTTTAAGAAATAGCATCAGATCTATCCCTCTGTATCCCATTATTGAGTCATAATTGGCATTATGAATGTTCTTTCCTGAAAACTGACCTTTGGCCAACTAGGTCATCAACATCCATCCTATCTGGTCCCTCAAGATTCATAGTGGGCTGTCTCTTCATCTTCTCTTTGGTTTTACTATTTAAAAGAGAGAGAGATTCTCTCTAGTCAGTCATGATCCTGCATCAGGATGAGCATGATTTTGTATATTGTGAAACAATGAATGGGAATCGGGAGGGGGTTGGAGTTTGTGTTGATTTCTCCCTACACACACTCAGATGCATGTACCACAATGAAAATCCAAGAGTAAAATTAAGGAATATTTCCAGATTGTGAAGAAAGGAAATTCAGTCATATCCATAAATATCTATATCTAATTGCAGGTAAATTTGTCTACTGACAGACATTTGCTTTATCTTTTAACTTCTCCACAATCTTAGGGGAAAAAAAAAAAGCTGAAAAGGACCTATAGGAGGACTGTTGAACTGCTGAATAGCAGTTGCCAAGAACAAGCAATTGATGATGCTGTCTGATGGTGCTCTGAACTTCACATACAGTATTCTCTAACAAAGTATCTCTCCACTAGTTTAAAAGAACTACCTATGATCATTTTTATGATCATTACAAAGATAGGTCTTTACAATATGGGAGTGTTATCTAGCCAGTTTGGTCTAGTTCAGTGGTTCTCAACCTGTGGGTCAGGACCCCATTTGGGGTCGAACGACCATTTCACGGGGGTCGCCAAACAAGGCTGTCCGCCATTTTTTTCCCCTTTTCTTTGGCCACGCCCCTGGCACCCGGTGATGTATAAGTGGTTGGGGTCACCACAACATGGGGAACTGTATTATGGGGTCGCGGAATTAGAAAGGTTGAGAACCACTGGTCTAGTTGGTAAGAACCAGGTTTTTTGTTTATCATTTTTACACATATTAGTAGCTAAAGGAAAATGTTACATTTTTCCTGCTCTGACCATTCCAGGATATCCAGGCAGAGAGGGAAAGTAAGTCCGGAATGGATTTAACAGGATTGGGGTTTCATGCACAGGTAAACTAAGTCTGAACTTTGCTCCAAGTTTTCCAGGTATCCTGCTTGTCTTGGAAGAGTGAAAAAGTTCTTAGATTTTGGCTTAGCATTAATTATTTTAGAATGGAATGGAATAGAATTGGACCTTGGACTATCTCAGACAAGTGACCGTCTAGCCTCTTCTTAAAAAACTCCAGTGATGGAGCGCCCACGATTTCTGGAGGCAAGCTGTTCTACTGGTTAATTGTCCTCACTGTCAGGATGTTTCTCCTTAATTCTAGGTTGCTTCTCTTTGATCAGTTTCCAACCATTGTTTCTTGTCTTGCCCTCCGTTGCTTTGGTGAATAACATGACTCCTCTCTTCTTGGTGGCAGCCCCTCAAATACTGGAATACTGCTATCATGTCTTCCCTATTTCTTCTTTTCTTTAGATTAGCCAGACCTAAGTCCTGCAGCTGTTCTTCATATGTTTTAGTCTCCAGGCCTTTGATCTTAGTTGCTGTTCTCTGAATTTTTTTCCAAAACTCTCAACATCTTTTTTGTGATATGGTGACCAAAATTGACTGCAGTATTCCAGATGTGGTCTTACTAGGGTTTTATAAAGTGGTACTAATACTTGATTCTATGCCTTTGTTTATACAACCCAGGATCGAATTAGCTTTTTTGGCTGCTCCACACTGCTGCCTCATAGTCAAGTGATCATCCACTAGGACTCCAAGGTCCCTCTCACAGTTACTGTTTTTAAGTCAGGTCTTGCCCAATCTGTACTTGTATCTTTGCCTAAATGTAAAACTTTGCTTTTCTCCACATTGAAACTCATTTTGTTGGATAGGGCCCATTGATCAAGTTTGTCAAGATCTTTTTGGATCTTGAGTTTGTCTTCTGGAGTGTTGGCTATTCCTGCCAGTTTGGTGTCATCTGCAAATTTGATGAGTTCCCCTTCAATTCCTTCATCTAAGTCATTGATGAAGATATTGAAGAGTACTGGGCCTAAGACGGAACCTTGTGGTACCCCACTGCTTACTTCTGCCCATATGGATGTAGTGCTGTTGAGGACTACTCGTTGAGTACGGTTTGCCAGCCAGCTACAGATCCATCTGTATTCCACCTTTTTCTAGCTTACCAAGGAGTAGGTTGTGGTCTACTTTGTCAAATGACTTACTGAAATCTAAGTATACTATTCCACAGCATTTTGCTGGTCTTCTAGTTTAGTCACTTTATCGAAGAATGAAATAAGATTGGTTTGGCAATGATCTGTTTTTAACAAACCCGTGCTGGCTACTAGTTATAACTTTGTTTGCTTCTAGTTGTTTGCAGATCTGTTTTTTATTATCTTTTCTAGGATCTTCCCAGGTATTGATGTTAGACTGATTGGTCTGTAGTTTCCTGCGTCCAGTTTTCCCCCTTTCTTGAAAATGGGAACCACATCAGTCCTTTTCCAATCCTCAAGTATTTCTCCAGTGCTCCAGGATTTATGAAAGATCTGGTGCAATGGTTCTGAAATAATATCTGCCATCTCCTTCACCACATCATCTAAAAAACCCTTTTATAATTATTGATTTTTCCACATGCCAATCTGTCTTTCTCTATTTTTCTTTTTCTTTTGTACTTTTGTATGTACATGCAGAGACTCCTCAACAATTGAGCCCAACATTTCTGTGGCTATGTGAGACATTTGTTAAGTGAGTTTTGCAACCTTTCTTGCCACAGTTATTAAGTGAATCACTGCAGCTTTAAGTTAATAACACAGTTGTTAAATGAATCT